TAGTGGCATTGGTGCCCGGAGCTATCATTAGCATTTGAGGTCCCAGTTTGGCTGCGTCCCTCATTCAATTTAGTATGGAAAGCCCAGAGTGTGTCATATTTTAAACCCGTTTTTCTTTTAGATGCAGAGAGTAAGGTAAGTACTTTCTATTTCATAAAGTAATTATCTGGCTTAACATTTGTGTTCTGACTTGGCGCGTTGATGTGTTAGGCAGCAGCCGCTGCTAACACCTTGCTGTTAAGCTGTCATGTATTTAACTCCGCCGGTAACATAAGGGTGTGATTGCAGTAGCGCTATATCGTAATGTATACGCTGCCAGTACTGAGGACTCCTATGCACTAGGATGATCATGCCAGAGAACATCTTCATGCGCGGGTGGCTGTGTGCCCTGCATGCTGCGCGTTACTACTGTAACCATGGCCCGATCGGTTCTAATGAGGGCTGTTCTCTTTCTAAAACTAATTATCTGTCTTAACATTGTGTTCTGACTTGGTTGCTTGATTGTTAGCAGCAGCCGCTTGGCTAACACCTTGCATTACTGGTAAGTTTCATTATTTCCATCATGCCGGTGAGGGCAGCGCTCTCGCTCCACCGGTAAATGCATGGTATGGTTGCAGTAGCGCTATACTCGTTATATCCGTTGTATTGCTCCTAAGCTACCTAGAGTCCTAGCCTAGGGGATTATTCAGAGACAATCTTCACTGTGTGTGCTGTGTGCTCTGCACTGTGTGGCCATTAAAGAGGTATCTCCCAATATCTATATTACTCTTAGTGTGCCACCGTTTGGCTGACACTTTTAGCACGGCCACAGTTACTCACTTTAACTACGGTTCCAAGCTGCGTACGGTACTGGCCATAGTGCCAATACGTAACCCGACGGCTCTAGGCGGTGTAAGTAACTGGCATATGAATTACTGGAACTAAAGGTTCTAAGCCGTAAGTACTGGCCATAGTTCATAACTGTAACTACGGTTCCAAGGAGCCGGTAAGTTACCTGGCCCATATCCAATACCTGTAACTACGGCTCTATGCGTGTAAGTAACTGGCCAAAGTTACTAATGTAACTACGGTTCTAAGCCTGTAATATGGCCATTAGTTTACTACTGTAATTAGCGGTTTCCAAGCCGTGGCGAGTAACTGGCCAGAGTTACCTACTGTAACTACGGCTCTATGCTGTGCTAAGTTCTGGCCCATAGTATACGACTGTAACTGCGGTTCCAAGCCGTGCGAGTACTGGCCAGAGTTACTGACTGATACTACGGTTATATTGCTTTGGTGACACTGGCCCATGGGCTGAGCGCCTGTAACTACGGCTCTGTGCTGTTCTCTCTTTCAAAAGCTAGTTTCTGGTCTTTAACCAATGTGGTGTTGTTTGACTTGATCTCGCTTGATCGTTAGCCACGCGCGCGCTAACGTCTTGAGCATGTACTGTAAGCTTCTTATCTTTACCCGCACTAGGTGAAGGCAGTGTCTCGCTCCGCTCCTCTACCGGGTAATGCGGATGTAGCTACATCCCTTTTTCTGTTCGGCAAAGTAGCAGCACCGCTCTACTCTTCCCGTTTCAGCAGGTAGCTGGTGAAGCTGTGTCCCGCTCCGGTTACGCTTCATCTGGCACCCTCGTCTCCTAACTCAACCAGTGAAGGCAGTGTTCTCGCCCCCGCTCCTGGTAAACGCTGAACGCCTCGTTTTTCCGTTAAAGCAGGTAGGCGGTGAAGGCTGCTGTTCGCCGCACCCGTCCCCGGTTACGCTGCATCTGGCCGTGCGTCTCTAACTCAACCAGTGAAGGCAGTTTCCGCCCCCTCTCCAGACTCTTGGTAGACCTGACTGCCCTGTTTTTCCCGTTAAGCCAGGTAAGCACTGTAGAGGCTGTGTTCCCGCACGGCCCTCCCGGTTTTGCTGCATCTGGCATTTGTCTCAAACTCAACCAGTGACGGCACGTGTTCTCGCCTCCGCTCCTGGTAGAGGCTGAACTGCCGTGTTTATTAATCCAGCCAGGTGAAGGCAGTGCTCGCCGCTCACGCTCCCTCTGCCGGTAACTTGCGTGTAATACATCCTCTTTCTGTTCCGGCGAGTAACAGCACACGCTCGACTCTTTCATTAAGCGTGTAGCTGGTGAAGCGCTGGTCCCCACCCCACTCCCGGCTACGCTGCATCTGGCTACCTACAGAATGGCTCATTCATGTAGCGCCCTGTATGGGCTTCTCTTGGAGCCCGAGGATGGCACGACCGCTGCCCCCTCCTGCCATCGGCGCCCTCACGTAAGGGAGGTTCTCACGGTAAACGCCTTGCATGAGCTGCATGCCTCGGGCGCTCAGAGGGCTAGAACAACTGAGGGTGGAACGTTTGGTCAGCAGCCAAACAGACACCTCTCGTCCGGCGACTTGAGGGAGCGATGGCTATGGGTGCTCCCCCCAATAGAAGGACTAGAAACAGGCTGTCCTCTAAAGTGGATCGGCTAGCTTCCTGATAGGGGCATGACGAAGTCGCCTCTTGGCTTCAGCCTGGGCGCCCGGTGTAGGCTGCTTAGCGGGCCCGCCTGCCCCCCCCTTCGGTTGAGCCCCCCTTTGGTTGGCGCAACTCCTTCGGATGACGCCACCTCCTCTCGGGCCTGCCCGCACACCTCCTGTGCGGGTTGACGCACCATCTGTATGAGGACCGCCTTGTCTCGCTGTACAGACCGTCGCCAGTTTTGGCTGGCCCAGTCACGGTTAGGCGAGAGGAGGGCATGTAGGAGAGTCCTCCGTAGCGTACCAGTCGAGCCAGGGACGCTGTTTGGGTCACAGCTGCAACTGGAGGCACTGGAGCGTGCTGCCCAAGCTAGGCAGACCAGGCAGCAGCTCTCGGGTTTCGCAGACGCGGCGCGGGGCGCGCTCAAGCAGGCACAGGGAACGCTCTAGGCGCTCGCCACCAGCCGCGGATTACAGGGTGGTCTGCAGAGGTCTTTAGCGACCCACTCAAACGCCTCCCAACTGACTTTTGTGCCCAGGTGCGATCCCGCCTTCCAGGTGGCCTCGTGCCCCAAGCCTTAACCGGCCGCCCCCCCAAGGGGCTCCAGGGCCAGGGGGGCTTGGGCCTGAAATCCGGGGGCAGTCGTTCGGCTGCTTTCCACAGCAGCAAGTTCAGTTAGCTGGGACGGTCGTACCCTGTCCGCCCCCTGTGAGTGGTTTTCACCTTAACCCAGGTAAGGACCGCTGCTCCCGTCCCCTAGCCTTCGGCTGGTCTAAGTCTGACAGTCGTCGCGCAGAAAGCCTGGCTCCTGGCCCAGAGAGTTGTCCGTCCTTCTGTCCAAGGACGCAATTCGAAGCCAGTAAAGACCCAATGCCTCTAGCCCAGGGGTTGCTACCCTCGCGCCGATACTTCTCGTGAGCAAAACAAGTCGGCGGATTTCGCCCGATCTTGGACGTTGCAGAGGGATCCAACAGATTTCCTCAAGGTGCTCCGCGCGGGCCCATTCTATATGCTGATCCACTGGCAGCATGCACAGGTGGAGTTGTCTCACCGTGGACTTTGAGGGATGCCTATCTCTCCACGTTGGGGCCGCGCAAGATTGGTGGCCTTGATTACACCCCACTTCCTCCGGCCTTGGGCAGAACTGGCGCTGCCTCGGCCGGCTTGGGCCCTTAGGCCCGCTGTTGTTGCGCCCATGCAGATGTGCCCCTGAACAGCCATTTTCCACATTGCATTACATTGCATTTAGCTGACGCTTTATCCAAAGCGACTTACAATAAGTGCATTCGACCAGCGAAGATAACAACTTTGAAGAAACAGAATCATACTAAAGTCTACATCCAGGAGGTTTCATAGAGCCAAAACATTTCAAGTGTTTCATCCACTTGGGACGCCAAGTTGCACAGGCACAAGGAAGTCAGGGTCACGTCTTGCCGCAGGGAGGGTCCGCCAGGTCTCCAAACGTGCTAGAGCTTCGGCCTGTGCCAACTTGCACTCACGCAACTTTCTAACCCAAACTGGGGGGGGGGCAAGAATGTGCGTGTTCCTTGGGGACGCCATGTACGTGTTTAGACAAGCAGTCCCCGCAACTTCTAAGATAAGTGGACGTTCTCACTCGCACTATGAATTTATGTGGCTGCTATTTTGCCGAATGTTTCGTCGAACGGAGGCCACGGCCGGGGTCCAACAGGTCGTGTCCTCTTTATGAGCAGGGCTTTCACGCGCAGCGTCCCCGGGCCTAGCACCCCGAGGGCTCCGGCTTAGGACCTTCCCCTGCCGCTGGATGCCCTGTCATCTCCTCCCTTCGAGCCCCTGGCCCAGGTGGGGCCTAAGTGGCTGCCCACGAAGGCAGCATTTCTGCTTTCCATAGCCTCAGGGAAGCAAGTCGGGGAGTTGCATGTCCTCTCCATAAACGATACATGCCCGAGGTGGGACTCTCAGGCGTTGCCCTTTGGGCAAATGTGGCATTCCTGCCTGGGGTCCTTCCGCAAACCCACTTCAATCAGCCTGCCCAGCTGACACGCTTTGACATTCAGGAGAACAGCACGTCAAAGTTGCTGTGCCCTGGGGGTGCCCAAAGGGCGTATATCAAGGCTACTACCTGTATACGGCAGTAGGAGCAACTCTTGATGCACTAAAGGAGGTTATGCCCTCTAACCAGTGGCTGCCCCACTGGGTTGTCGATACCATCTCACAGGCTTACGGGGCCAGTGGCCGCCCCGCACCATCGGGCTGAGATGCCACTCTACAAGGAGCATCTCAACATATTGGGCTGCCCTGAGGGTGGTGCCCCTGGAGACCATCTGCGCCGTGGCGTCGTGGGCGTCTTCTGGCACATTCTCCAGTTGTCATCAGGTCAATGTTGCCACTCCCCATTCTTTGGGCGTGGTCCTTTTGCCGAGCTCCGCTGCTTCCAGTGGTGAGAAAGGGCTTGGATTCTTCATGACATTGTTGGTATAAGTCATCCAGTGCTTAAAGCACCGCCTCTGGCGGTCAGTAGGGACGAAATAGAACGATAGTTACGGCTGTAACTACGGTTCTATGAGTCCCGGATTACCGCCAGAGTTTCCTGTCACTCAGAATTCTTGTGTGCTCGCGAGAAGATTCTGGGAACAGATCCTCTGACGACACCGGCTGATATAGCCGGTGTCACGTGGGTCACAGGTGACTTTGTTGTTATTGGTACTCGAGCTGCGCATGCGCGCGATGGACATATCCAGTGCTTAAAGCACCGCCTCTGGCGGTCAGTAGGGACTCATAGAAACGTAGTTACAGCCGTAACTATCGTTTTTGTAGCTAAAAGCAGCTACCATTCAGCTAATAAAATATTCAGCTTTTTCTGCATTTTCAGCTAAATTCAGCCACACGTTTTCACAGTTTACAACATTCACACACATTTTCTGCTGGAAATGCATTTTCTAGTTCCATTTGATTGTCAATATTTTCATCTTCGTTCAGACAGGGATTATATGGTTCAGCTCAAAGTCATAGGAATGGAATTCAAACATTCAGATCCCTCTTATTTTAAAACAAGGTGGTTTATAAGTTTCAAAGTATTAGTTATTCATTCTGTGTAGAAGGGATTCATACACTCAGAGGCAATGTACTGTAGTAAGATAATGAGCAGATGAAACCTCCTTTCCCTCTAACTTGGAAGAGCACTGCGGCTCCCAGCCTTGCATGTCATCTGTTGCATTATTATATCTTCTCTCTCTAACTGTGGCATGCCTTGGGTTATTCTGTGATCAACGCATTCGACAGAGCCATTTCAAACTATTTACCTGCATATATCGAGCACCTGGTTATACGTTGGTGTTGTTCCCATTGTTCAGCACCATCAAAACAGTGTTTGTAGTAAGATACACGTTTAGTAGTTGTTTGGCGCCATATTATGACATAATCAAGAGAGTTAGACTTTTTTTAAAATAATTTATGAACGTTTACATTCTGAAATAGAAAACCAATGGAGTGCATACTGTGTATCTGTTTACTCGGAACACAACCCGTTTTCCTATTCCCCCTTTCATTTTTTATTTGTTAAAAGTGTCTCAATTTTTTTGCTAGCCATTTTCCTTTCCATTTATCATTTTGTCATATATTTCCTAATAGCTGGGGAGTGGTGGGAATTGGGGATTTGGTTTTACAGAAAGGTGTGTGAGAATTCTGGATACTCCTGATTCTTGTGTCAACAGCGCTAATGATGTTGTTTAGCATGTACAATCAATTGTGTCAGATGGTTTCAAATTGCACCTGTTATATGAACATCAGGCTATGAATTGACTCACCGATGCACCATGATGGTAAGAGGTTCTGACTTGGAGCCTCCTGTTATGTTTTAATCTCTGATAGCTGTTCTGCAACACCTGATTAGTTTCACAACATTTCCCACACCTTTTCACTTACCATACTTAACTGCACTTCACTTCCTCTCCCACCCATAACTGCTCAAATAACAGTAAATGTATGTGAAATACAATGTATTGAAAATAATGAAATAAAGTGATTTTTTTTCATTCTGTGTTTTTCTCATTGTCTCTCTTCACTCTTATCTCTCTTATCCTGACCCTCAGGCCCCAGTACTTTAAGATCATTGAGGAGTGTGTGTCTCAGGTTGTGCTCCACCGCAGTGGCACTGACCCCGACTTCGGCTACCGCAAGCGCCTCGATGTGGACTTCAGTCACCTCTTAGGTAAGTCCCAAACTTGTGCCAGTCTCTTTACATAACGTGTATTTCATTTCATTTTATTTAATGATATAGGAGTTACAAGACAAGTGTATATAAGTAAAGTGTCACATATAGACAAATATCAAATTACAAGATATACATGGAGACAAAAAAAGAAAAGAAAAACAGTTTGTGTGTTTGTCTCTGTGTGCGTTTGATGTATTAGACAAAAAGATAGTAATAAATTACAACATTATAATTCAAATGATATGAGTAACAATATAATCGTCATGTATCCTGGGGGGGTGGGGGCATGTAAATAGTAGCATAACCTTAAAGAAGTAGAAAGGGGTGGTGGCTGAATGAGGATTATGAATTAAATGTATCAAACAACAGGTATTTCAAAACAACATACACATTTTAATTTCATTTTTGTGTTTTCAGATGTGTGTGTAGATAAAGCTCGATCTGATGAGTACGAACAAAGAGCTTCAGAACTGGCACAGAAGGCAAGTCTTTACAAAGAAAACCACTTAGATTTTGAACCCACTACACTACACCACACCACCTGGCCAAAACAAAGCCCAATTAGGCCTGCACATATTTACTCTAATTTGTTTTTAAAAAACAGCATCTGTTTTTACTGTGAAGTAAAGGTGACCATGGCAACCTCGGGGGGGCTTGTGTTATAAGCTGCTGCATACTGTACACTTCTAGTCATCTCTTGAAAATGAGTTTTAATTGCTATCTGATTCCTTTCTAAAAACCAGAAAAGTGAGCATTACAGAATAAGACACAATACTGGAAAATAATAAACACTGACTTATGATCTTAACATTTAAAAATGCAGGAAACCAAACACTCTTGAAATGCAAGTTAAACTGTTTCTGTTTTCTGCCAAAAGATTTGCTCTAGATTTTTCAGTTATATAATACTTTGTAGCAGAACCTGTACTTCCCCTATCAATGTAGCAAACAAACCTTTTCCTTTTTTCATTTTAGTCAGACAAAAACATGCCTGTGAGGTCAAATGGATTGGCTGCTGTGATTAATTGAAGTCTGGGAAGAAGCAGGTTATAGATCCTGATTAGAAGGATGAGCTCACTGATTGGCATGTTTGTATGGTACTTCAAAAAGTTTCTATAAATGAACGAGTAATAGACAAAAGATTGAATTTCAATCCGTAAATGAAGTTAATCAAGGTAACATGAATGTCGATTATATAAAACAAGTACGGTACATCCTTTAATTTAAACACTTTTAATGAGTACTGCTTATGTTAATTCTTAGTTTCATTAATATCAGCTCCTTCGTGTGACTTACCTGGATATCCGTTTCTCTTTTCAGTTTGACGAGGAGTTTCTAAGCAGACAGGAGTCACAAGCTCAGCTGGTTCAGTGTAATGATAAAATAGCTGCACTCCAAGCGGAGCTGCTGGCCTTCCGCTCTCAGGTAAATTACCTATTATATCTTTTCAATGTCATTCTTTCATTTCAAATCCCCCTTAAATCTACTATAGAATTGCAATTAAACTTTATTTTCTTACTTTCCTTTATGAGATGTTCTTGTTATTTTGGGGTTTGTGGTGGGGGCGGTTGTTTTATCCACTGGAGCCTGCAGTTTGAGTTGACATGAAGGCTCTACGGGCCCGTCGAAACTAAGTCTAATGAGAATACTGACCAGTCCTCGATGTTGGCTATTTCTGATTCTCTGATCTTTATCCCATAAGGGGAAATTGTTCTAAAAGCAATTTATTCTGACAACTCCCTTCAACCTCACTACTGGGCCTCTCTCCTACCCGCCAACACCCCAGAGAGTTGCTCCTACGCCCTGGCACTGCAAGATAACTCCACGCTTTGAGAGAACTTCCTTTTTATTTTCCTGATAATTTTTCAATTTCAGTGAGCAAACACAGAATGAATACTCAAATAGCACCTCCGTACAATATGAGGGGTACATCTAGCCAATGCCAACACACACACACACACACACACACACACACACACACACACACACACACACACACACACACACACACACACACACACACACACACACGTTTGTCTTGCTGTCTTTGTCTGTCTGTTTCATTGTCAGTCTTACTCTCACCAGCACACACACTCACACACTTGTGAATTCAGAAAAGGAGTTCTTCCCTCTAGAGGCGGTGTCAGAGTAATGGCCCAGGGCTGACCTTTAGTGTGCGTCTTTAATCTAAAACTGGTGCATGGATCAATAAGCCATTTGCTCCCTATGATACAATTTACGAAACTTTGTAGCCCCGGTTATAACATTTGATTTTCTGGCTTTGGGAAAAAAACAAATCATGGTGGGTAAGTTCTGGACAGAGTCTGGATGGTTTACGTGCGTTTGGCCTGTGCTGGATGGTTGAGAGAACACGCCTCTGTTATCCGCACCACAGTGGTGTTAGCGAGGACACTTTACTGTGCTGTTGTAGTTTCTAGTTAGTCTGCTTCCATTTTTTTCTCCCCAGTTTCAAACCTATTCCCTGTTTTTACCTCGCACTGTGGATTCACCTTTTATTTTATTGATCTGGGGAAGGGTTTCTTGAGCACTGCTCCACACTGCAGAAAAATCCATGGTAACCACCACAAATATTTTGTAATGAAATAATATGAGCAGGAATCAATAAAAAGAAAATCTTTCTATGAGGCCAGCAAATTAAAATTGACCTTCCAACTAATTAAAAAACTATATTCAAGCCTATTTAGCTTTGTAAATGCTGTGAAAATATTTATCCAATATGTTCAGTTACACTGGAGGTGATACTGCAGTCCACATCACCAAACCATCGTGTTATATCGACATGTTGTTTATTTATGTGGAAATGTATTTACAATTTACATACATAGCGAATGTATCAAAAGAGAAAACATGGTTCTTCACGTATTACCAGTGCAACAGTAGTTTTAATAGTTTTAGATTTGGAGTTTGTCAGTGGAGTTTCTGGAGCAGTATATTATATATATTATCTCAGCGTCACACCTCGAGTAAAATGAGCATATATTTGGTGTTTATGTTCCCAAATACTTTCTCTTCCTTTAGTTTGGGGCTGTACCGGTGGGTCTGTCCCCCCCCCATGTTGGACAAGCATCCTCTTCCTCAGCCCTTCAGTCTGGGGCTCCGTCGCCTGCTCCAGCATCTGGGGCACCACATCCCCCTCCTCCTCCTCCTCCTCCTCCTCCGCCTCCTTTACCTGGATGCCCTCCCCCACCTCCCCCACCTGGAATGCCTCCTCCATTTGGTGCCCCCCCTCCACCCCCTCTAGGGTTTGGGGGTGGTCTAGGCTCCCCCACTCACCGTGCACTGCCTTATGGCCTCAGGCCTAAGAAGGATTTCAAGCCTGAGACCTCCATGAAGCGCCTCAACTGGTCTAAGGTAACACTGCAGGCTGCTTTTAATATTTAACCACCCCTATTTTTATACAATGCAGTCTGTTACGCCACAAACTAAAGCCTCAAATACTTTGGAGTCAAGTCATTTTAAAAAAAATTGTATTTATCAGAAGATTCATGATGCTGTAGGAGAATAGTATCAAAACAAAGTGAAAGAGAAATGTAAAGTTTTTAAGAAAAAATGTATTAAAGAAAAGCTGACAAGAAAATAGGATTATTGGGTATGTTCCTCAAAAGGCACCCAAAATGAAATCTTAAAATATTTAATTTGATTAGATTTTTCTAATCTTTATTAACCTAGATGAAATTAGAGCTACAACATTTAGCCATTTTAACCTCTCAGCCTTCCAAATATGGACACTTCCTGCACTTTGCTGCTTTACATCATACATTTTGACACAAACCAACACTTCACTAAAAAAGTAAAGAAAAATAACTCTCAGATGTTTTATTTATCCGCAGGCTATTTTATCATATTGGACTCCAGTACATTTAGGACATGTGTTTTCTAACTTAACACCGGCGTTACAGATATCTATTATGAGTGGTTTTCAGTGTAATGAGAGATATTAAAGACTGTGCTGAATTATGCTTAATAAAAGGTTTGCAACAAGAAACAGATAATTTAGGCCAGATATTTATAGGGGCCCTTTTCTCTGCTCTTTGTTCCTTTGTTACTGATTTTCTTTGGCAGAGCCTGAACAGTACAGATGTTTTTCTAAGAACGAAATAACAAGTTTCTTCCTCGCTGCCAAGAAAGTGATAATTGAAAATAACAGATGATCAGATGCTGTTTTCAGAGCAGCCTTAGTGCTACCTCTACAGATGTTGTTCTCTGCAGTGCAATATTAGTTCACATCACTAGTGATATAACATTGTGATTTGATTAATAATTAAATATCAGATGTACAGGTGTTCGGCAAACTAAACCATATGCTTGTAATTTCAAAGTGACATGAAAATGACCTGTGCTATGGCACAGCTGTATGAGACTCCCACATATGTTTAGGTTTGAGACAATGCTGTTCAGAAACTTCTTAAGCAGACTTCAAACTTTCAACTTTATTTGGAGCTCAGCATGTTTTGGAGAGGAGTAACTATCATTTATGATGAAAGACCAGTGACAAAACTGCTTTTGGCACAAAACTCAATGATTCAAACTTTAATACCGTCTTATCTTGACTATTGCCCAGCAGTAAAAGTTTTGGCGACACTTATGTACTGCTTTTAGTTTTAACCACATTTTAGGGATTATTAAATTGTCTGGAGCTTCTCTGTACTGTATGTATATATGGCCTATATCTTTAAAATGTACCCAGTATCTGTTTCAAATTATGGCTTTCCATTATATTCACTTTTACTGCTGTAGACTGTATATTCTGAAATACTTTTAGTATCCACAAGTTACTCAATGATCCGTGTGGGTGTTTGTTTTCAGATTCGTCCCCAGGAAATGTCAGAGAGCTGTTTCTGGGTGCGGGCTGATGAAAACCAATATGCGAAACCAGAATTACTCTGCAGAGTTGCTCTCACTTTTGGTTCACAAAGAACAGGTCAGTCTTCATTTATTAAATGTCCCTCTGTCTGACTGCTGCTCTTGTATTTTGATTTGGTTTTGTGTTTTAACTTATAATTGCAACACATTTCTAAAGCAAAGAGCGAAGAACTTTACTTTTACAGAAACCGTTGAGGACATTTCCAAATCCTTTTTTCCCCTACATATTTGTGTGACTCTACTCGACACCTCCTCTTTTCTCTCCTCTTCACTTTCTCTTCTGTATAACTCTGACAAACTTTCCGGGTCAAATGTGTTGCTATGAAATGAAATGGCAGGGTTTCTCATTTGAGATGTAATGGTAAAACAAGGAAGAACAATTTGAGAGCAATGTGGAATTGCATGACAGAGATACAGTCAAGTCTGTGAGAGTGTTTAGCTACCCTCAAGAAAACCGTGTTTATTTAATATCCTTTTGAGTGAATGGAAAGTGAGTTATGCATGGCAGAAGTCATCACTTACTTGGTATATTTGGAGTTGGTCCAATTTCAGTGAGCTTAGTGTAAGTGGAGGTCTTATTAAGCTAAATTAAATTAAATGCTGCATTAATTGGAAATAAGCCTTGGCTAATAACGTCCCGGATGTCTTATTTACATTTTCCGGTGGGACAGATTAAACAAAAATATTATTAAAAGTATCACTGCATTATCTCAATATCAATGTTGTATTTTACTAGTATTTAAAACTATGCGCTGGAAAGTACAACTCATAAATTCATGGAGTAATATTGAGGCAGTTAAACATATGAAATATGAATGTTCTATGCTTTTATCTCTGAATATAGTTTTTCATCTCTGCCAAATTAACTCAAACAGGTCATGCTTTAACTTTTTTGCCGCTTCATACAATAGGAACATTTTCACAGTATGAATGTTTCCATGATTTATGAGTGTTTCTCACTAATAACCTGCAGTCTGGGTTAGCCCACCACAGTTTCACAAAGAACTATTCAACACATCTCAGTGGGTGGGGTCTGCATCCGTCCGGGGATACAATCAGCGGGTTAGAGACGGGCGCTTTGTGCGGGAGGATTCTCTCCCTGGTGAGCATTTTTGCACGCTGTGGTGCGCTGACAGTGAGCTTTATAGCAGCCCTCCCCCGGACTTCCCAGCTTCCCTAGAGCTAGACATATTGCTTGCTGCCCTCTCTCACTGCGTAGGAGAGGCGGCAGAACCCATGGTATAACTGTCAACCAGGTTAGAATGTTCAAAGGGTCCGGGGCGAGGTCTGAGACCCACTCGCCTGCTTTGTAGCTGTTACTTTTTCTGCCATATCGTTAATCATCACCATTCATATCCAAACAACCAATGGGTACATAAGTTAATGTTAGCTAGATCATGACATTTATTTATCAACTTTTTCATATTGGAGTATACAGTATATTGCAGGCAAAAATGTGCAATGTCAGTTTTTGCCACAATATCAAGCAATCCTAGTGGTAATACGTTTATGTGGAGAAGTGTTCAAATCAAATCAAGTTTTATTTATATAGCACATTTATAAACGATTTTTGGTCGAGCCAAAGTGATGTACTAATAAAAATAGCCTACAGTAGAGACACTTTACAGCAAATACAACAGCACAGATTGTTCAGAATATCAGTATGAGAAAAACGACACCCTCTATCCTTAGAGCCTCACATCGTACAAGGAAAAACTTCCAGAGAAAAAGTGTTGAACAACAGTAGTGACATAACAGCCTACTCTATCTGAATAGACTGCATATGTATGTCTCACATCTCAGGTCTGACATCCCCCTTCTTAGCAGTTTAAGTTATCCCTCTTACATTTTATTTGGCTATATCCCTGGTGGTATTGCTCCATGATAAGACACCATACAGTTACATTCTCACACATTAGTATTTCTGGCGAGATGTGTAATACTCATGTACAAGGTTCTTGGAATGATTAAAGCTCCAGCAGGAGGTAGCATGAGATGTTATCAGTCTTGTCCTCTTCCGTGCGGGATCTATTAGTCCCTTCTCTGATGATTTATTCACATGTCTTGTGTTCTCTTCCTTGTCTTGTCACTGACTCGGCTTACTTATGCCAATTTGAATTATTCATCCAGGTGTTATCTACCTGTCACAACTCTATGCTGGTCCTCTCAAGGCGCCAAAGTCCCCCCCCCCCCCCCCCACACAAGCCAGTACACCCTTGTTTCCTACCGTCAAGGCGTTGAATAATGGAGGCAATCTAAATGGCAAACAGGTAGACAGTGAGACAGTCAAGCAGGCGTTCTCCGGAGAGGACAAAGGAAGGATGTCCGCCAGCAGAAGACTGTATTTCTCTGTAGGGGTAATGACCTAGATCCTGCATATGTTTTGCACACAGCATTTTGTTTTACAGTAATCATGAAATGCATCATCATCAAGAAAGAGTCACAGAAAAGCCCTTCTGTACAGGAGAATGCTAGCCGTCTAGTTTGTTATTGCTCATGGGTAATGCATTTTAGATTTGCACAAACAAAACATGAGACATTTGTCTAAATCCGACTTTTTCTCAAGGTCTGAATCCATCCACGTAGTTTTGTTCCTCCCTGATCCCCCCCGACCCAGAGGAGGTTGTACAGCAGCATTACTGTTTGCCTCAGCCTTTGAACCCGGTTGCTACTATTGCTGTGTGTGAGTGAGAGTGCATGTATGTATACGTGCATGTGGACTTGTCATCTTATTAACTCAGCCATGTAGCAACATGTTTCATCTCACTTAAGAGCAGAAGCATCTGGATCAGCATTAAACATTAAAAAGGACACGGTATGAAACAGCATTCACTCAGTTTTCCCTCTTAAATATTCATAAATATCCCTTGAAACCTCCGTATTCTTTCGTGATGTTTGTGCCTCACGCACAAGAGGATCCCTTCCTTCCTGTACACACCGGCTGAGTTTGGATGGGGATTTGTTGAACAGTTTATTTTGAAGCCATCACTGGTGCATTCTGTCAGGCTGCAAACTGATCAAGTGTTAATAAAAACACTGTGGTTTTATTTATTTTTGTTATTCAAAAAATGTTGAAAGAAACCTGGAACTCCACATTTAATTATAATTTATATTACTGCACTTGAAAACTAATATTTATTTGTTATTTGTTATTATCCATTTGGCTCCTCTGTTTATCTATTCAGAGTGGGATGCTGGTATTTGGACACTTTAACGCATCCCCTCAGTGAGCAAATTGCAATAAATGGTTGTTTTTACTTTGAGCAGCAGGTCAGACTGAACTAAATGTAATTAGACCACCAAGCTGAATAATATGACTTTATTTTCTGTGCTTGTCTCTCAAGTCCCTGCTCTTCAGCTGTATATTTTGATGCAAATGTGATGTCGTAATCAATACACTTCAATGGAACATTTCAATTAAGGACAAACATTGAAACGCAGACTTTTTAATGTTTATCAGTTTGTGTGTTTTCAGTCAAATAGAGCAATTGCAGAGTTTCTTTAAGCACAGGAGAAGCAAAAGCCAATTTTGAGAGGAGGATACGTTTGCAACCTAGAATGGACTTTATAATGTCTGCTGGTGGATGTTGAATCATCATGTAAGCATTTGAACAGTTGCTTTTCATTTGGGTTTTAACTGGGTACTCTCATTCTCTTTGCTTGCCTTTTAGCTTTAACACTATAACACATCTCTTCCATACCAGGTGTCTTTTCGTTGGCAAACTATTTTGAATGGTTGTTCTAAAAACGTGTATCTTAATGATGTTTTTCCCAATGCTTTGAGGTGGAAAACAACTGATGGGCAAGATCAGTTCCTTTTTATTGACTTGGCTGAAACAACACTTAACTATTGGGCCTCAAAAAAAGAGAAGAACAGATCAATCGATTGTGTCCCTAAATTGCTTTTCAAGTCCATCAGACACAGTCAGCAAAAAATAGAGAATGTCAGGTAATTTTACCTTTTAATTCAAGCTCTTTTCTTTATTTCTTTCGTTTTTCTTGTCTGTATTTGGTACATTTTTATCAGCATCTCCTTGCTTGGTTTCACCTTTTAAAGTAATTGTGTCCTTACAACAAATGTATCACCTTGACACAGACTTGTTCTCTTTCAACTTCTATTAGATGTGTTTCTTCCATCCTACCTCTAACTTTTGTACTGCCAGGCATTCAACACTTAAGAGTTGATGAGCCTTTGTAATTTGTTATCAGGCTGAGGAAGCACTTCTGTTCAGCATTGAGGTCAACTCAATGTTCTCTACTAAAGCAATATCCTCTAGACAGGAAAGCTCCTCAAAGTAGTAGTACTAGTAGCTGCAGTAGTAGTTTCTCTCGCTAGCCTCGTAATGTGTCTCCTTTATGGCCAAACATGATAACCTCAGAGCTTCACTACAACTCAAATCATTCCACTGAATTGTGAGCGTGGATTCAATAGTGATTTATTTTTTTAATCAGTCAATTCCTTTGGTTTTTCTACCTATTTACAATGTGAGGGCATCTATATGCAACTCACATTAAAGTAAGTGTTCACTATAAACAATTTATTTCAGTTGGCTCAAATGACCTTTATACATTAACAATGGTAAACACAAATGAAATGAACACAAGAAAAGGAATCTCAAATGTAAACAGCAATTTGATGCCTGTTTACTTTAGAAACTGCAAAGGTAGATGTACAGTACTATGACTAAAGCACCTATCATTTTAGTTGATTAGTTCATTTAGTGCTGTTTGAAAAGTATGCAGTACACAATATTGCAATGTTTAAAAGACCTAATCATTGAATTTGAACGGATATGGTTATTAAGCCTAAACTAAAGCTGAAACACAGTGGGTTATAACTTGTTTGTTTTACTTGATCATACTTTAACATTATCATGTTGCTTTATTAATGCAGACAATACTATGTGTCATTGCCAAATCATATATAAATGATTCTGGTGTACGCTGCTTACTGTTATTAGACATCCCGATACTTCGCTTTTAACCACACCAGTACATTTTAGCCTCTTAACTTGAGTAAGTGTGTGTTTCTCTTGAATTCTCTCTAAATGTCTCTTGAATAGTTTAGATTTGTCTCCTATTCTTATTTTACTTGTACATACTTATTATTACTATCATTGTTGTTTTGTGACTTTCCTATCCATCTATACTCATGTCTGTCTCTGTGATGCTACAACACCTTCATTTCCCCCTGGGGATCAATATGGCTAATTTCATATTTCATAGTACAACAATAAGTAAAGTCACACGCTTAATCAGGTGCTTTTTGTTGCTATTTACCTAAAGGTCAAGCAGCAATACTCCCTCTCTGAAATAACACATTCTGGTGGTGGTTTAGTACCTGCTGCAATGAGAAAAGGTTCTGAAGAGACGGGGAATATATATCAAGTCTAATTGTGAGCTGCTACGCTGAATCAATGCTGCTGGTCAGAGAGGATTGTATGTTGCAGCAGGAAAACAGTGTTGATTTCCTATTTCCTCACTCATTAAAAAGAAAGGCACTCTTCAATTATGACAACTAAATGAGCTGTCTGCGTGTTCCAGCCCGCTCAAGTGCTCTATTCGATAATACCTACGTGCACGAACACGCACTAACACATTTAGGCTTACAGTATGAAGACTTTTTTTTATCCATTTTGCCAGGGGGAAAAAACAAAACAAAATGCATAATTGCTTGCTTCTACTATTGGCCCGATGTAGTTTCTTTTCTTTGGGACTAATATGCATCTCAATATTTTAGACCTAAAGGCCACCCCCTTAAGGTGACTTTGTTATATACTATAATTAAGTTAATCAATTTAATATATTAAGACACGACTGCAGGGTGCATTGTTTCATTCATGGTCCCCAGAACATAAATTACTTTATCTTCATTTTCCCTTAGAGCCACCAACAGGGGAACATTTTAGATTGAGTTAAAGGTCTGGACAAGATAGACTGCCATAAGATTTTAAGCATAAATGAATGTCCCCACAATAGGAATCCTAATTATTTAGGTGATCACCTCACCTTAGATATTTATGAAAGCATATCAACAAAGAATGACCTTGATGCCCAAACCATAGATGTCAGTAAATAATAGTTTTCCTCTTTAGTGATGAGTTGCTTTTGAACTTGAAGCTAAGACATGCACTCCCGCCATGTTGTTCTTTTGTATCACTTTCTACTTTCCCCTTTCTGTCTGCTCTCTCTTATAACACAGCTGCTGTTCTCCGAGAGTCGATGCATGCAAGTGGACAGCTTGC